AATCTAAGTAATATCCTTTTCTTAGAGGTCTTTAAGACTTGCTTCACCAGTCCGCACTTTTAATTTTTTACGCTATCATTTAAAGTTGATTTTATCCCACTTATCCATAAATACTACCTTTCTCAGATTTTTTAAGTAGTGATCCCTTTTTTGGTAATATACAGAGAGCATTGGGGAGCCTGGGTAGCTCAGTTGGTTAAGCATCTGACTTCAGCTCAGGTCATGATCTCACTGATGGTGAGTTTGAGCCCCTCATCGGGCTCTGTGCTGTCAGTTCAGAGCCTGGAGCCTGCTTCAGATTCTGTGTCTCCCCCTCTCTCTCTGCCCCTCCTCCATTCACACTCTGTCTCTCTCAAAAATAAATAAACATTAAAAAAAAATTTGTTTTTAAATATACAGAGACCATAAAGGGTACCAGATCATATAAACAGCTTTTGCTTCTATTATTTTCCTGGTCCAGACAGCATCCATGAGACTGTCTTTAACTGGCTTTATATATATATTTATATATTATATTAATTATTATATATATAAGTGTGTGTATGTGTATATGCATTTTTTTCCTCACCAGCATATAATCTTCCTTTGTGCGCTTGAATAGTCACTGGATATAGTATTAAAATTCTGAGTTCAAGTTTTATGCGTCTTTGGATATATTGCCATCCACAAATCACTTATTTTTTCTCTCAGTCTTAGACTCTGCAACCTACTAATAAAAATTTGTGTTCTGGGGAACGTAGGTGGCTCTGTCGGTTGAGTGTCCGACTTCAGCTTGGTTCATGCGTTCAAACCCTGCATTGGGCTCTCTGCTGTCAGTGTGGAGCCGACATCGCATCCTCTGTCCCCCTTTCTGTGTACCTTCCCTGCTTGCTTGCTTGCTCACTCTCTTTCAAAAACAAATACACATTAAAAAACAACGGAAAACTCGTGTTCTTACTCTGAAACACACAAACTCATTGTAGGGCAGTATACAAAAACTCATGTGAATTTTTAAGATAAAAGATTTAGAAGAAATTTTGTGATGTAGCACTTTTTGTATAGGTATGGCAAATGTAGCTCTGAAAATCATAACCACCATCACCATTAACTCTGATGCTGGGTGTGTATCATCACTATACTTTTCTACTTGGGCGTTACTTCAGTTTGGAAAGAACTACATGGAGAAATGAAGACTCAAATGGCATACCCCCCAAAACTGCATTAGAAGATAATATAAATTGTAGCTTTTATTATAGAGAGTTAGTTTTAACTTAATATAATCATGTTATTCAGAAGCAAATCTGCCCTGCCTTAAGTTCTTAAGCACACCCTTCTGGCTAGAACGTACGGATTTATTGCCTACCATATCATATCATGCTTTTTATAAAAACCTCTTTTACTTAGTTTTGAATTCTGTTTAAGAATGTCAGTTTATTTTTAGTCTCTTACTAAAATATCTGTGTCTTAATCTTGCTTCTCACTTCTAAGTTTCAGTTGTTTTGCTAAGTGGTCTAGATAAATCTGTTTCACAGGATGTAGACTCTAATCCCTATTGAAAAAGCTCCTGTCTCTGAAAGTGCCTTCTCTCTTAACAGCTGATTCAGTTTTCTCTTCTCTCTAAAGTCTTAGACTGGTGTGCCTCTGTACTTGGCGTTTTTGACGATTATGTTATGCCCTCTGAAAACACATACACCAGGCCGGAAAGCTCTCTGATACCATCTGTGTCAGACTTGTGGAAAGTACACTGTTTCTTCAGAGGCGAGAGCTTAGCTAATTGGGTGGTTGTCAATTTTTGAATTTTTGTTGATAGTAAGAATAACATTAAAGTGGAGTAGATTCGTGGATCTTAACCTCATGGGAGGCTCAGTCAGTAGACCTCATTCCTAATATACCTTATGTTTATTTGTTTTGAAGTTTGTTTATTTTGAGAGAGACTGAGATAGCACAGGTGGGGGAGGGACAGAGACAGGGTGAGAGAGAGCATCCCAAGCAGGCTCAGCGCTGTTACCGTGGAGACAGACAGGGCCCGCATTCACAAAACCCATGAAACTGTGAGATCCTGACCTGAGCTGAAACCAAGTCAGATGCTTAACCAGCTGAGCCACTCAGGCACTCCAAATATACCTTACGTTTATAGAGTACTTCACTTATCATGTCTTCTCAACAAATCTTTAATTTGGGTCTTTTATTTCATAGATTTAAGCATAGATTGTCTTGCTTAAGAATATATACAAGTAAATGTCAGGGCATCTAACACAGGCTTCTTAAAGGATTATTCTAGGATTCTTTTCAGTCTTTAAAATTGGCCTTGATTTTCTTTATTTTCAACATATCTTTGGAAATTTCAATGGGAATCTCAACTCTACTAGGGATGTATAAATATGACATTCCAAGTGTGTATTATTCTGCTTTTTTGTAAACCTGACTTTAAAATAAGAGTTCTAAAGAGTGCAAATTTTGGCATAGATCTGATTTTCTTAAAAACCTGGGAATATTGCCTTTTCTTTGTAACTGAGTGTGTTGGGACTTGGTGATTGTCTAAGAGGCTCACAGGACCCAGTGTGTAATTACTACCCTGGCTATGACCTATTATTGTGAAAAGATACAAAGCATAGTAGTCAGCTAAGGGAAAAGGTATGCAGAGTAAAGCCTGGAGGAGACCAGGTGTGGGCCTCCAAGAGTCTTCTTCCAGTAGAGTCAGATAAGACATACTTCTTCGTTCCTTCAGCAGTGAATTGTGACAGTACATGTGAAATGTTGACTACACGGGAGGCTTATTAGAGAATTAGTACCCAAGATTTTTACTGGATTTGGCTTGTCGTTACATAGGCACCTCTGCCTAGCACGTACCAAAAATCTGGATTCCCAATAGGAAAGCATATGTTAAGCATAAACCATATTGCATGCATAAACAGCTTAGAGCCAGTGAGCAACTGTCAGCTGTTGTGGGAACTCTCCAGAAATCTAGGTTCCCACATGTGAGCCAAAGGCCAACTGTGTAAGCGGGCTTTTCTAAGGATAGCAGTCTTAGCCCGGCTCTGATAACTTTTCTGCACACTGAATTAATCTTGACTGATTTCGTCTTGATTGTGTTTTACGTTGTTTATTGAAGAATGTTTAGCCAACTGTATTAAAGTTTAGGGTGTCTTATATAAACACATGCCATACAGCAAGAAAAAAATTAAAAACAAGTAGATGAAGAAGTCATCAAGCAGTAGCCTTGTTGAGAAATTTCCTGTTATACCACCTCCGTTTTGCCAGGTTCTTAAGTAACCCTCTTTTGTCACTTGACTAGCTTTTTTGGGTCTTTGGATCTGCTTCTGGCATCCCTTGCAAACTGGCCCTTATCCAAGGTTAAGTGTTGGTCATTGCCTTTACTCTTGCCATATTCTTACTTCATTCCAAGCTCATAGTGCTTGTTTATATTATCATGCAAGGTAAAGTTAGAGTCTCCTACCTTTCACTTCTAATGGAGGAGACTTCCAGATCCCCTTCTGAATTCCTGGTTCTGTGTAGATCTGCTGACCACTTCCACTTGGGTATCTTAAAACTTTATAGTCCCCTTCTGTCCCCAGTTCACTTTCTTATCCACCTAGTTTCCTCTGCTGATATAGTTAATTCTTAATTATTTCTACTAATAACAACTCTGGTTCTAAGTGCTAATTCCTAGACCAGTCATCCATTTAAATTACTCTTCCCACTTTTTTGTTCATTATAGGGTACCCTCCATACCATTGACAGCATAGTTGTTTTTCTTTTTTTTTTTTTTAACAAAAGTTGAATTATGGTACCTTGTTGCTGAAAAATAAACATGTGGAATGAAATTTGAAATACTAGCAATTAGACTTTTATGATGAACCTTTTCATATCCTTACCAGCGTTTTTACAAGTCTATGTTTTTATACCTTGGCTTTAAAATTTGTTTTTGTTTTTTTTTTACTATTTATTTATTTTTGAGAGTGAGAGAGAGGGGGGAGACACAGAATCCGAAGCACTTCCAGGCTCTGAGCTGTCAGCACAGAGCCCAACGCAGGGCTAGAACTCATGACTCGTGAGATCATAACCTGAGCTGAAGTTGGACGCTTAACCGACTGAGCCACCCCGGTGCCCCCTCTTTTTTTTTTTTTTTTTTAAAGACCGTGAACACGTGAACCATCTCTGATGGTCTCTGAGATGTGTGGTTTATTCATAAAACTTATGAATTACTTTAAAAACCATTCTTAGGTAGAGTTGGTCCTGTTATTAGGAGACTTGATAACATTTCACCATCTTGAAAAGGAAGTACTTTCCCTAAGATTTAGTTTTCTTGATATTGTTTTAGTTAAAAAATTGGCAGAACTCTTTAAAGTTGTAGGAGCTATTTAAGAAATTGAAAAATAGGGGCGCCTGGATGGCTTGTCAGTTAAGCATCTGACTCTTGATTTCGGCTCAGGTCCTGATCTTGCGGTTCTTGAATTTGAGCCCTACATCCCCACATCGGGCTCTGTGCTCACAGTGTGAAGCCTGCTTCTCCCTCTCTCTGCCCCTCCCTCCACTTGTGTGTGTACTCTCTCTCTCTCAGTAATACGTAAATGTTCAAAAATATTTTTAAAAAGAAATTTAAAAATAATTGCAAAAACATATTGGATTATTTGTGACTTTTAGTTGTGTATCGCTTGAAATTTTGTGACTTTTTTCTTTATGTGTGGTTGTGTTTCTGTCTTTCCCTAATATAACTTATTTAAAAAAAAAAAAAACAAAAAAACAAGTTGCCAGAAATGATATAGATTAGGTTTTGCTCATCTAAATATAGTTAACATTTTTCCATAGGCTGTCAGCCATGTAAGATACATGCTCTTCAAGCCACATCTTTAGTTGGCTCACAAATGCTTAATATTGCAAGAAGTATGAATATGTATATATTCCTGATGCTTATGTAAAATGATTTAGGGTTACATGGTGATCTGTAGTATGGTAGAAACCAGTTGAAATTAAACATGAAATACGATTTATAATTCACTTTGCTCTTTATTTCTTTTAAGGGACCAGTTACTCTCCACAAGAAAATTCACACAACCACAGTGCTCTTCATAGTTCAAATTCACATTCTTCTAATCCAAGCAATAATCCAAGCAAAACTTCAGACACAGTAAGTATATAAACATGCTCACTTTTGGTTTTTGGGTTTTTTCTGTTTGTTTCATTTATTGCCCTGCCCACCTCCACTCTCCACCCCTTCAACCAAGTCTGTTGTTGTTGTTGTTGTTGTTGTTGTTGTTGTTGTTGTTGTTAAATCTAATGTCTTTTTTTTTTTTTAAGTAAATGTTGACCTTTTTAAAAATGTGTTTGAAGTAATGAGCTTACCTTTTAGTAGAATTGAGAATACTTGGGAGACACCACTTTGATATTTCTTCACTTTTTTACTGTACAGAGCAAAATCTACCATTGCAATATCTGAGATATAAAGATCTGTAGATTATGAAACTTCTATAGTTACCTAAAGTGGTTTAACTTGAGCTTGTTCTCCTTCTATAATATGTACACATCTTACAACATCTGTTAAGAGCATCTCCTGTGTTACACACTGTACTAAACACTAGTGATGCAAAGATTCCTGTCCTCAAGGGAATTTAAGTCAGGAATTTTAGATATTTCTAAACTGAAGTAATAACTCAGCTTGCATTTTTTAAAGTCAGGGTTCAAATGAAAGTTGTAACAAGTCCATTTTACAAAAGTTGCCAAGCATATGCTAGGTTGTAGCCATATAGTACTAAGAAAATGTGGCCCATCCTAAAGGAACTTTTGGACCTGTGGTGAAAACTGAAGAGTGAACAGTTAAAACAGTGTGCGTTAGGGGTGCCTGGGTGGCTCAGTCGGTTGGGCGTCCGACTTCGGCTCAGGTCGTGATCTCGCAGTCTGTGAGTTCGGGCCCCGCATCAGGCTCTGTGTGGACAGCTCAGAGCCTGGAGCCTGCTTTGGATTCTGTGTCTCCCTCTCTCTCTGCCCCTCCCCTGCTCACAGTCTGTCTCTCTCTGTCTCTGAGAAATGAATAAACCTTAAAAAAAAATTTTTTTTTAAACAGTGTGAGTTAAAGTTGCTTTGGGAGCACTCAGAAGGAGAACTCCCAGCTTGGATGAGAGTAAGATCTTAAAGTACAAGTAACACTACTGAGCAGATTGAATAGAACTTAGCCAGTTGAAGAGGTCTGGAATTTGTGTGCTATGCAAAGGGAACAGCATCTACAAAGACAGTGAAGTGTGAGATAGCCCAGTGTATTTGGAGAACGTCAAGGATTTGGTAGTGTGAAAGAATGGTAAGAGTTCAGGTTACAGACGTGAGTGGGAGCCAGATCACAAAAAAATAATATATCTTACCAAGGAATATGAATTTTATAGAAAGGCAGTGGAGAGCTATTGAAGCATAGAATTGGTGAAGTAACCTCATACTTGCAATTTAAAAAATTCTATCCGGTAGTACCTTGGAAAATCTAGGAAGGAAAGAACAACTAGAAGACTATAGAAGTGGAGGTTGAATCCAACAGATTTTGCTTTGGTGATCATCATGACTTAATCAGCATTGAAAGGTGCTTGGGATTGATTATTTCTTGTCCCTTGTTGAAGCAGTGTGGATAGTACATTTCTGCAGAAACTCGAAACATAAATGGTAGTATTTTCATAAAGGTAGATTTAGAGTGGTTTTAAATATTGTATTAGTCAGGGTCCAGGTAGGAGAACAAAACAATACTGGATATTTCAGCACAGAAAATTTAATAGTGCAAAGAATTTTATATATAGGATTAAGCAGATACTGCATGCTTTTGAGGACTGAAGAAACAAAAAGGAACATTCAGCTATTGCATCTATAGTAATCACCATTAGGGCCAGAGTACAGTAGGAAGACGTTGTGGTAGGGGCGCCTGGGTGGCGCAGTCGGTTGGGCGTCCGACTTCAGCCAGGTCACGATCTCGCGGTCCGGGAGTTCGAGCCCCGCGTCGGGCTCTGGGCTGATGGCTCGGAGCCTGGAGCCTGTTTCCGATTCTGTGTCTCCCTCTCTCTGTGCCCCTCCCCCGTTCATGCTCTGTCTCTCTCTGTCCCAAAAATAAATAAACGTTGAAAAAAAAAATTTAAAA